TTTTTTTTTTTTTTTTTTTTTTGAGATGGAATCTCACTCTGTCCCCCAGGCTAAAGTGCAGTGGGGTGATCTTGGCTCACTGCAACCTCCACCTCCCTTCTGAGTAACTGGGATTTCAGGCGTGTGCCACTGTGCTGGCTATTTTTTGTATTTTTAGTAGTGACAGGGTTTTGCCATGTTGGCCAGGCTGGTCTCAAACTCCTGATCTCAGGTGATCTAGCCACCTTGGCCTCTGAAAGTGCTGGGATTACAGGTGTGAGCCACTGCGCCCAGCTGTGTATTTCTTCTTACAAAATTTTTGATATAAAATAGTAAAATTGTGAAAGGTGTAAGTTGTGAAAACATGCCACATCAAAGCCAATGATTACAAATACTTTAAATGTTTATTACTTATTCAGGAATATTCAAAAGGAAAGGCATTGCCTTGGCTCTCACCACATTATCCACTCAATATTTGTTAGGATCTTCTCTGTGAAAAGAAAGGTATTTAGGTATTATTTAGATAGGAAGGCATCGTTTAGGTGTTATTTAGGGTGGAAGACAAAAACCAATTACCTATCATTAATCCTTGTTTTTAAGATGCTTATTAGGACACAGAAAAGTGGTACACAAAAGTTATCAGACAAAAAAGAAGTAATGAGTGCTACTAATGAAGTTAAAATAAAATGCTTTCGACACTTGAAAGAGTTCTAGATTGAGATTTGAGGAAAGTTTTTGAAGTTGATCTTTGAAGAACAGATAATATAATATTTGAGTATGGACACTGGTGTGAGAGTTATGTTTTCCTTTGAAAGACAATATAGATTTATGGTAAATAACAGAGGGGATATATTGGTGAGTGTTTCATTTACATAGAATTAGCGTTAACGGACTCATATTGTTATTCTTTAATTATCAACTCTTGGCAATGAAAGAACACAGAAAAAAATTTATAAAGTTGATAACTAACTCTTGACTAATGAAGGAACTTTCAATATCATATAACTGAAATTTAGGAAAAATTATATTCCTGTTATAGTCTTCCACATTAGCATTATATGCTAAGTTGGCTTCTTTTTTTATATATATTTCTCTAATTTATTCTTTTAGTCATTTTATTGCCAGTTAATTGAAATGGTTGAGAGCCATAAGTTTAAGAAAAATGTTTAGAAAAATAGGTTTTGGTCAGCTCTTGTCCGTATCAGGAAACACGTGAAGACCATTAATCAAAATGAGACTTTGACTCAAGTATACATTTTATTAATAGTTCTTCTCTCACTTAATGTGATAATACATAGATGATACAAAATGGACTTTATTTTGATTCGTGATACCCACTAGGTTATAGAAATTTTAGTGACTTACTATGATTTTTGAAGGAAAGAAATTTGTCACAGCAGCTGTTCTCAACAAAGTGAGAACTGCATGAACCACTGCATGCTGTTAAAATAGTTTAACACTTGAACGGATTAAGGAAACTAAAGCAGTAAAATAGATCCTCAGGTCCTCACCAATATTCCTATTAAAACACAAATATACACAAACATGTATTTTGTACTGAAATATACTTTTTCATTGACAACTATTAAACCATTTCGGGGATTTTTAGCAATTATCAAAATTGTTCTCTACGATTCCCAGACCTCCCATGTCCAAAATTTTCTACTAAATCAGACTTATTGAGACACAAAAATTTAACCTCCTCTCTTTACTTACATCTCAGAGAGATTGTTTTAAGTGTGACCAAAATCAGGGGTGAGTACCTTCTCCTCAATTAGGTCGTATTTTGATTTTTAAAACATGAGGCAGATGATTTGGGACATGAAAAACCTTACATCAAATGCCAATTCAATTACCTCTTTGTTTCCTGAGTAAAGCAATGTTTAAATATAATTTTCATGTTTCCAGCCCTGTACTTCAGTGAGAGAGAAAAAAAAAAAAAAAAAAAAAAGGTTTAACTCACAAACAAGACTTTGTTTCAAGAGAACAAAAACTCTCCTGACCTCTTTTGTAATCTCTTCTAGGGCCAACATAATTGGCAATGAAGTCAGCCAATCATAATGTCATTATCGCATATGAATCAGGTTCAAGGGACAGGTCCTTTTCTGTGCCTTAAAAGTCACATTAAGTAGTACCCTAGCATACCTCTTGGACAGAATATTTTATTACAGGAACTTTGTAAGTATTATGTGTTCCATTTGTTGCAACGAGTGACATTTATCTTCTGGTAAAGTGAACACAGATCTTCAGCGTGATAGAACATAGTCACAATTGTCTTGTTCTACCCATTTCTCTCAGGTAATAAATTGTAACAACAGATGAATGATAGGAGAGCTTTTGGGGTACATAAAAGGGAGTTTGATTAAGGGACTACTGCTACAGAAATAAACTTAGAAATAATGTAATTATAATGGTAAGGGATCATTCTCTCTGCTCCCCATGGTAATTCTTCCTGGGTATGGCTGACCCACTGCTGCCGGGTCTGCAGTGGCTAGTTTAGGGAGACAGTGATGAGGAGTCTACCTTCTCCTCTGTCTCTCTCATGTGCTCTTATCTGTGTGTGAAAAGGCAGAAATCTTTGTTGCTGGTTTGTATTATGGCCTATATTTGGAAAAGTATGCTTATTTTTTTTTATTTTCTGTCTCCCTATTTCTCTACTCCCTCTTCCCACCCTGATATAGGTCCTAAACCTATTTCTGGCTTTATTATTGAGCTCATTTAGTTCAGACAATCTTACAGCAATTGAAGAAGACCCCGATGCAAACAACCTCCAGATTGCAGTATCCAGAATTAAAAAGGGAATAAATTATGTGAAACAAACCTTACGTGAATTTCTTCTAAAAGCATTTTCCAAAAAGCCAAAGATTTCCAGGGAGATAAGACAAGCAGAAAATATGAATACTAAGAAGGAAAACTATATTTCTAACCATATACTCGCTGAAGTGAGCAAAGGTCACAAATTCCTCAAGGAAAAAGACAAAATTGGTCATTTTGGAAGCAGCATGGACAAATATTTGATGGAAGAAAGTGATGGTCAATCATTTATTCATAACCCCAGCCTCACAGTGACAGTACCAATTGCACCTGGGGAATCTGATTTGGAAAATATGAATACTGAGGAACTTAGCAGTGATTCAGATAGTGAATACAGCAAAGGGGTAAGAATGCTTCATACACATTGTTTTTCATATTAACAGTATGAAATGAATGGAAATTTTAGATTTCTGTTGTCATAAGTTCTTCTTAACATTGCATATAATGATGGATTTTTTTTTTGTGCTGATATTACACAACAGCTTCCTGAAGCTTCATCTGGTAAAGTTCTCTTACTAGTTCTTAATAATTAATTTTATCTTACTTAGCTGTATGTGAAAGTACCAAGTATCTTTGAGCCTTCCCATCCTTCATCCCATGTGTCCTTTCAGTTAAAATTACACACAGTCTCCCTCCACAGTGTCTGTTTGAATCCACCTCTCCTCATCACCTTTCCTTTGTACTCACTACTTCTTGCCTAAACTATTTCAAGCAGAGTCTCAGCTGATATCTCTGCTTCCATTTTGCATTTACTCTAGTTAATTTATTTGATTAATTTCGATCAGTCCTAATCATGTCACTCCCATATGAATCCATAATCCCCAAAGTCTCTTTCTCTCTCTCTCTCTCTTTTCTTTTCCTTTTTTTAAAAAAAAAAAAAAAAATGGAGACAGGTCTTACTCTGTTGCCCAGGCTGAGAGCAGTGGTGCTATGATAGCTTACTGCAACCTTGAAATCCTGGGCTCAAGTGATCCTCCTGCCTCCGCCTCCTTAGTATGTGGGACTATATAGGCCCATGCCACATCACTCAGCTATTTTTTTTTTAAAAAAAAGCTTGTAGAGACAAACTATGTCTCCCAGGCTGGTCTCAAATTACTAGACTCAGGCAGTTCCTCCACCTTTGTCCCCAGTTGCTGAGATTACAGAAGTGACCCACCATGCCTGGCCATCTCCAGAGTCTCTTGAATTATGTACTATGCAGAAAGTCTTCACACTGTGGCCCTAATCAACTTTGACCAGCTGTACCTCCTAGTGCTCACCTGTAGATTTTTACCTGTACCAAATCAATTTCCTTTTAGGCCATAAACATTCTCACCTACATGACTTTGCTTGGGATTTCCTTCTCCAGTCAAAATTCTTCAAGTCATCACCCTCTCATTTATCATTTATGAAATTATTAATACTTAAATCATAGTTGGGTAAGGGTTAAATAAATTAATACTTAAATTATTAATATCTAAATCATAGTTGGGTAAAGGTTAAACACATTAATACATGTAAAATGTTTAGAACCATACTCAAAGTTTTCAAAATGTTACTCTTTTCATCCTAATTTCTCCCAAATGAATGTAGTCTCTTCTCATAACAATTTTATGCCTCTTCCTGGATTCATTAATCTTAAATTTCAATTTTTGAGAAATTATGGTATGCATCAAGTGATACTGTAAATTCATTGAGAACAGGAACTCTTTAAGAGCTTTTTTTGTACCCTTCTCTCCCACCCTTACCTGTATATTTCTAGGGAGTCAATGTATGTATTGAGCTGTATTTTTATTGTGAAATATAATAACCATGAGTATTATCACAAATTATTTTTATGGCACTGCTTCAAAGTCTTATGATATCATTTAAAAATAATCTTTCCTTTATCTAGCTTATGTTAGAAAGTATTTGACAGGTATTTACCAAATAGCTTTTATCTCCTTAACTTATTAAGACTCCACCTTCCATGAATTCATAGTGGACTTGGAAAAAATATTATATGGAATAATCATGACCCATACATATCAGACATATATATGCAAAATGTTCAGGAGGCTGAGGTATGAGAACCACTTGAGCCCTGCAGGTTGCAGTGAGCAGAGATCACACCACTGCACTCCAGCTTGGGCTACAAAGTGAGACTCTGTCTCAAAAACAATAAATACATAAATTAAATTAAAATGAAATAAAATGCTCTGTATTTAATTGAGTGAATAAACAATTAAAATAAATATAATATATATTTCTATGTAGCCCAAGACATTTTTTCCAAGACGGCAAAGTAAGGAATAAAATACAGTCATTCCTCCATATCTATGGGGGAGTGATTCCAAGGCTCCCCAAAGAGATTAAATTCTGCAGATGATCAAGTCCTTTATATAAAATGGCTCAGTGTTTACTATATAACCTACACGCATTCTCTCATATGTACACTTTAAATTATCTTCAGATTACTTACAATGGAAATGTAAATCACTAACACTGTAAATATTTGTTTTACTATATTTTTATTTGTACTATTTTTATTGTTGTATTTTTATATTTACTTTTTCCATTTATTTTCCATCTGTAGTTGGTTGACAACAGATGTGGGACCCAGGGATACAGAGGATCAACTGTATTTTATTTGTATATTTTTAAATATTTTATATGGAAGAAGTGATACTCCCAAAATTTTAAAAGTGTGTTCATTTCAGCTTAAAGTTGGAAAATCAGATTCCACATAAACATTTTAAGGAGGTTTAGTATCATATGGAAAGGGAAACTAACTCCATCACCCATTATTTTCTGCTAAAGAAGATTAAAATTATAAACTTCAATCACCTGGCAGACAGTTGCTCTCAGAATAAAACTGGAACTCTAGGTGTTAAAGCACTTCAGGAGCTAGGCAAAGTCAACCAAAGACTTGTGAAATTATTTCTTAACACTTACAAGGAATTATTTCTTACCTGTTCATTATACTTTCATTTAAAGCCAATGACTGAACTTTCATGGATCTCCTTAGCTGCTGACAAAATTCTAATTCTTAATATGTCGAGTGGTAGCATTTCTAAGGAAACCTTATAGAACTTTCCATTTAGCACTTCATTTTCTAACTGAAAAAGTGGTTTCACTAAAAGGAAGTGATTTTATTCAGTTATAAAGCTAGAGTTATATAGTTATGTAGTTATAAAGGCAGAGCCATATCAAGAATCCCCGTCTTGTGACTTATAGCTCAATGGAATTTCCACCGCTCTTCTCTCTTAGTCCATTTGAAAGACAAAACAAACATTCCTATTGGACTTAATTTCCACTTTGTGTCCCCTGGGGTATAAAGCCATGCAGCTATAGAATTTGTATATCTGTGGCATGCAGATGAAGGTTGTGTTGCCATAATGGTCATCTATCTTTTATAGTTAGTGATTTTATTTGTATTTTGTAACTGAAATAGATTATATTAATAATCCATAAAATTACTCTGCCACTGATTCCATGTGCCCTCCCTAAAGAGTATGAAATTGAGTGCCATATAAACTGAGTTGTCTGAAGACCATTTGATGTTAATTTTCTAATATTCTTGATTTTCATTTTTTTTCTTATTACATGATAGTCATATCTACATGATAAAAGAGTATACATTGTTATTCTATTATAATTCTATGGTATGCACAATATGTACAGGGGTTTGTGGCTACCTTAGAGGTTGTAGTAAAAGATACACAAACTAATATTTTTAAGTCATTTAGTATAGTGTTTGAATTAGCAAGTCATAAAAAGAAGTTTTTATTGTCATTGATTTCAGCATCATCATTTTCACCTAAGAAGTCAGGTTCTTAGTGCTACTGACTAATCACTCTATTGATTGCTAGCCTTGCTGTGCAGAAGCTAAAAAGCTTCTTCAACAGAGTGAAGAGACAACCTACAGAATGGGAAAATATATTTGTAAACTACGCATCTGATAATGGGTTAATATCTAAAACATATAAGGAACTCAACTCAACAACAACAGCAACAAATAATGCAAAAATGTACAAAAGATCTGAATAGGTATTTCTCAAAAGAAGACATAGAATTGCCAACAGATATATACAAATATGCTAATATCACTAATCATCAGGGAAATGCAAATCAAACCTATAATGAGGCATCTCCTTACTCTACTTAGAATGGGTACTATCAAAAGACAAAAGAGAAGTGTTACAAGGATGTGGAGAAAAGGGAACCCTTACACACTGATTGTGAGAATGTAAATTAGTACCTTCATTATGGAAGGCAATATGGGAGTTCCTCAAAAAATTAAAAATAGAATTTTCATATGATCCAGCAGTACCAACACTAGGTAAATATCAAAATGAAATTAAATCAGTAAGTTAAAGAGATACAGTAAATGTAGAATACTGTACTCCTATGTTTATTGCTGCACTGTTCACAATAGCCAACTTATCATATTAACCTAAATGATCATCAACAGATAAATGCATAAAGAAAATGTAGTACATATGTGAAATGGAATGCCATTCAGCCATAAGAAATAATGAAATGCTGTTATTTGTGGCAACATGAACGAACCTGGAGGATGTTATGTTAAGTGAAATCAGCCAGGCACAGAAAGTCAACTCTCTCACTCATATGTGGAATCTAGAATTTTCATAGAAGTAGATCGTAGAATAGTGGTTATCTGAGGGTGGGGAGGTTTGGAGGAGTGATGTATGGAGAAAGACTGGTCAATAGGTACAAAGCTACACTGAGATAGGAAGAATAAGTTCTGGTGTTCTATTGAATGTTTGGATGACTAGAATTAACATAATGTGTTATATATTTTAAAAATAGCTAGAAGTTTGTAAATAGTCTCCTCACAAAGAAATGATAAATGTTGAAAGCTATGGATCTGTTAGTTATCCCATTTCATCATTCTATAATGTTTAACATGTACCCCATAAATATGTACAATTATGTGCCAAAAAATAAGTTGTAAAATAAATGATGCTAACTTAATCCCTAGCTTACTTAGGTTCAGGTTTCTGAGATATTATTTCCTTTATTCTGGGGTTATGGATATATTTCCCCTTTTGCTTGTTTAAGAACCTGCATTTTGAGCAAGGGGAAAAATAATCACTGACCTTTGATATCTCTCCCTCTTCTCTCACCACCCAAAAACCCTCTCCTTTATGGCCTAGCATCCTGGCTTCTAAATATAGTTTATGAAGAGTTTTCAATGCTCTCCTAGTGTAAGTTTTCAGGTAAGCAGATTTCCTTACCCTGACAGACAGTTAAAAATACACTCCAGAATCAAATCAAAATATTTTACAGTAAAACATCTTACCTGAAAATAAACAAAGAGGCTAGTTCAAACAAACAATTTAGTCAAATATCTTAAACAATC